GTAAACGGTTCATGAAACAAAAGTCAGTTTGCATTAAGTAATATAATTTTTCGTTCTGTTATGTTTCAGTTGCGGCTTTCTTCTATTTATTTTATGTTCAATTTTCTTATAGTTTGCTGTTACATTTTTCAGTTAAAAGACTATTTTAAAATAATTATTCAGCTATTTCACACATAGATACTATGGGATCTAACTCTGTTTGTTACCATAAATATCGGTAGATCTTATGAAAAACCTGGCGACTTCTCGCACAGGCAGGGATAATAGCAGCACAGAAAAAAAAAAAAAAAAAAAAAAAAAAAAACCTTTATTGTTCGTCAAACTCTTAAAACACAAATACACGTACTTCGGGCTTACAATAACACCGACGACTTGCGGTGGAACTTAAGAATAATTTCGCAATAAAGTCAAAGTTAAAGAGTAGAGCTGGACTAACAATTTAATTAAGGCCAATTAGGCTGACTCAACAACCTGCCCGGCGATATACTTATTAAACGGCCAAAAGGGCGTATCAGCAACTCCGCGTAATAGTAAGAGCAAACTAGTAACGTTCGCTGACTAGCGAAATCACGCTATGACTAAACTCCAGATCCAGATAGCAAACGATTTGAAAGTATTTCAAATTAAACTTTTAAAGATTTCTAAGCTCATTATCGCAAAAAGAATGAGTCTCAATGAATTGGAAATGCAACGGCTGTGAGATTTATTAGAAATATTTGATAGTGATGAAGATTGCATTTTGGAAACTGAAGATGAATATAGGAATATTTTCTGCGCTGTTCGGTTTCGAAAAAGAATAAGCATTCATTTCTTATAATCCTAAAAAAGGAAAAACTTTTCTCATGCTTTCAACATTACATAACGATGATGCTGTAGATGATACTACTGTAGAAAAGCAAACACCAGAAATTATATATTTTTATAATATGACTAAGCGAGCAGTCGATACTGTTTATGAAATGGCAGTAAGTTAGTCAATTGCCAGAATAACAAGGAGGTGGTCAGTGGTAATTTTCTTTTCTGCACTGAATGTTTCTGAAATAAATGTTCGAAATATATTATAAGATATTTCTCCCGCCTTCCTAGAGTGCCTTCGTGGTGTAGTGGTTCTGCACGCTGGGCAGGTATTCCAAAGGTCTGTGGTTCGATTCCCGGCGAGGGCGGTTGCTAATTTTTCATCTAGCCTGCTCCCCCCCCCAAAAAAAAATACCTAACGTCTCTGCAGTGGCGCCCGAACTAAAAGGGTGTTGGATGATGATTCTCCGCACCCAGGATTTGGCAACTGGGTCCCCTCAAAACCCCAGTCGCCCTTTAAAGAGAAAGTATAAGTTTTCTCCGCCCCTGCGTTCCTTCGTGGTGTAGTGGTTCTGCACGCTGGGCCGGTATTCCAGTGTTCGATTCTCGGCGAGGAAGATTGCTAATTTTTCATCTCGTCTGCTTCCAAAAAAATACCTGATGTCTCTACAATATTACTTTCAAATGCTAATCCACCAACCAGATAAAAAGCAGATGTCTATTTTTGAATAACTTAGCATTACAACTAATTAAAAAATATATTAAACAACGATCAGAGATTAATACTTTATCGAGAAACTTACGTACTGTATGCAAAAGAAGAGAAGTTTCGAGGAATAATTTAAACGAATATATGAAATTCGAAGCAAACTAACTATAAAAGATGTGATGAATTGCCCTCGAGCCAAGGACAGAAGAACGCGAAAGTGATATTTAAAATGTGAAAACTTTCTGTGCCAAAAACACACGAATTCATTTTGTTCAAAGCATAAACAAATAAGCACTGTGTGTTAGAGATGCAATAAAACTTAGAGGTATGATGTTTATTTTGTTATTAATTTCATTTATCTTAATTTTAACTCTCTATAAGGTTATTTTGGAAATTAAATTTTTATAACCCAAGTATTATTCACGTATTAAAAAAGAAAAACAGCTTTAAAATTAAATAAAACTGTTTTTACCATAATTGGGGTATGTGATGTCCCATGCGCCCACTCTAGTAAACTTTCTTGACGCGCCTTCCTTAGAAAGTCCTCCACGAAGGCATCCCTCCCTTTAGGCAGATAGCCCTCGTGTGCTTTGCCATAATTGAATAATCCTAATCCTAATCCATCCTTGACGCGCCTTCCTCCGGGTTAAATTTGCATCCCGGCTAGGAAATGCGAAGAGAAAATGTGAAGTTCAGGAAAGGTACCAAACTTGAAATAATTTATTATGCAAAATAAGGAAAACCCTACAATACAAAGGTTTTTACTTCCAATTTTTAAGTTCCAAAGAAGCTATCAAAGTAACGTGCGCTGAACATAAACAAAAATGCCACACACGCTTATATTATCTAAATCTCGAAAGCACGGCGTTAACCGCGGAAGTAAGAAGTGGCTGCTCTGTTCCTTCCTCCCAGATATCTACTCCATGTAATCCTCTTTACTCCTTACTACAAGGACATTTCATGTCCTTCACACTACCATCTGTTTACCACTTCTCCTGCCTTTTTGCACTTTCAGTTTTGAGAATGATCGTTATAATAGCGATCACTTTCTTGTTTTTATAACTCTCGCACGGGAAAATATAAATTCCTCGTCAGGATCCTCTCGGTTTGTAATTGAAAGGGCAAACGGGGAACTCTTGCAGGGCTCGAGTAGCTTCTGCATTCTAAGCTTAAAGTAATTTAACCGAAACTAGCAAACTTCTGGGTGATTAGTAATTTCTTATAACATGGAAATTTAAACCCTCAGCAACTCAGCATGTCTTGAAAATCTCACATATTTGTAGAATGACGTAGAAAAAAATCTCAACCCCGCAATTCAAATAAATATGCTGATTAATTTGCACTTTTCTGGAACGAGCGAATGTAAGCGAAAGAAAACGGGTAGGAAAAACAAATTTTAAGGTTAACAAAATGAAGATTATATATATAATAAAAACAAACTCAGAAGTAATAATCAGCAGGAATTTTGATGGCGTAAGAAGTGTTGATCCATAATGAATAGGAAATTGGAGGCGAAAGCAGATTAAATCTTCATTTTTTATTTCAGAAACATGTTGGGCCACAAACAAGTTGGCCCATTAAATTTGCCTATTCCAAAAAGTTTACATTTTAGATAATTTTGCAGTAAGATAGAAGGAGCAGACAGACTGCACCCCAGCTTGGACAAAGCATAGAAAGCAAGTGTGATGTTCAGGGTGAAATCCTAATTCTGACAGTGTTAGTTTTGGTTCTCAGGTGCATTTTGATTGGCTAGTTAATATTGCTGTAAAATTACTATTGACTGGTTGAGTTTTAGTTCCATTTACATCATCAGAATTACGTAAGAATCATGTGACATGGATTAATCTCGAAATGACGCAGTGCAGAGAGATTACTATTTTTAGAATACAGAAGGGAATTTAAGCTGCTAATTTAATCTTTTACATATTCTTTATTTTTCTTATATATATATATATATATATAAAGTTAAAAGGGGGATGGGAAAAGAATAAAATGTTAGATCAGGGAAAAAAGCATTTAACTTGACAATTAGTCAGATCTGTAATGCTGCTGGGAGCTATTGGAAATCTCTGAAAACTATAAAATGTGTCGCTATTACAATATTTTAAGAATTAAAAAAATAGTTGAAAAGAATAGAACCGGTTTCATAATCCAAATTCCTCTACGGCAAAACTACTTTTAGTTAAATATGTAATTTATTTATGAAAGCTTTTTTCATGTTAACTACTTTGTGTTGAAATTTAAACTGATTTCTTAAATAAACATGATTGTTCTCTTTATGTTCCGAAGTTCTATTCTAGCTTTTCTACCAACTGAAATTATTAGTACATCAAGATTCTTGTCGAGACCTAAAACTAAACTGTGTCAGATATGTCAGAATGAATAGCGGCTCAAATATTCAGAAAAAAAACTATTAAATAAAAGTTAGAGACTTAGAATCAACAAATTTTTCAGTTATTTTCAGCATCCAATTGCTGATAAAGTAGCCATACGATTTCTTTTTATTGCAGTTTGTCCTTTTCTACTGACAAAAAACATTCATACATATGGATTGTGAAATTGGCTTAAAAGCAATAAATTTGATTCCTCACCTTAAGAAAGGATGGTGTTAGTCATCAAGAATTTAGTAATTGTAGATAATTCCGTTGCAGATAATGGAACGCTTTCAGGACTGCTTGACTATTTGACCTGAAACCTACCTCCACGTGTCTCCAAATGTACTCTGATGTCGAGGCCGGTTTAAGAGATTTTGGGCCCCCTCCGTCTGCCTTCGAAATCAATTGAGATCTTGACTAAATCTGCGCCAAAATCAGAATTGTTGAGTTACTAATTTTAAGAACATAACTTCTTTATTTGCTGATTAAATTCAGAAAACATTTATATATTTTTTACCAATTATTTGTTATTTCATAATTTCGTTTTCAGAATTGATTGTTTGTGAGCTCGAGAAGCAATAGTTTAAAATTTTATTTAAAGGAAAAAGTGCTGTGTAGATCTAAATATGATTATTTTTGTATTTTTCAAATTTTCTATCTACGTTGGTTCAGAAACTAAATGTTTGATAACTTCCAGCTTTACGTATTAGTTATATGCTCTTTCCCCCCTAAGTTAAAAGGCTAATTAGGTTGTAATAATATGAAATTAGAAATACACGATAATTATCCGTTTATTATATTACTATATTATGTTATTTTTATTATTTTGCATTGAGGTGATTCGATCAGTCTGTTAAGAGATGCTTAAGAGTTTTGAATTTTGACGAGAATTCGTGATAAAAAATCTGTTTTTCCACATTATGTTGCATTAGAAAGAAAACTAAAATATATTATTACTCGCTGATTATCTTCTTCTGCTTCACTTTCCCTAATAACTGAAAGCTGATTACTATTTTTTAAATTTGCAGTAAAAGTTTTCCAATTAAATGTAGCTTGTTGTAGTATTAACTTTTCAATGATATGTACCACATATTTCTTTTAAACTTCATTCTGTTTTTCAGACCTATTAATCACCAGTTTTAAAAGATGGCAACTAAGGGTAATAATCCCATCGATCAAGATTCCCAGAAGAACTGCGAAGAGAAGTCTTTAGAAGCCAGATCAAGGCTTCATCCAAAAAATAAAGATGATGACTTAAACACTTGCGACATTTGTGAGAGCATTTGCGTTGGGATTATAAATTATAACTTACATCTAGCTGGAAAGAAGCACAGAAAGATGGAAAATAAAATAAAGCTTATGAAAGAAATAAGGAAAGGTGGTACTTTATCAGAACCTGAGCATGTGGATAAAAAGAACTTGTTATTAAATGACCTTAACGTTGATAAAAAATTTACTTCTTCTGGAATAAGGTGTGACATTTGCAATATGAAGTGTTCAGGCCCAGAAGCGTTTACCCAACATCTCGCAGGAAACAGCCATAAAAAGAAGTTGGCCAAGCAAGAATACATTAAGAAACATGCAGCTCTTAAAAATATTTCGGGCTATTACAGTTGCAATATTTGTGAAAAAGAATTTTCAGGACCATTCTGTTATCAAAAGCATTTAGAAAGCATTTCTCACTTGAAACGAAAGGAAAATTTGGAAGAGTTAAGTAAACTCAGTGATCCAATTATTAATCCCAAAGAAAGTAGAAATTTACAATGTAGATCCTGCAAGAAAAGATTTTCGGGAATAATTCCGTTCAACATTCATCTAAAAAGTGCTGCACATAAGAAATCTGTGAGGAAGAGTGCTATACTTACAGAATTACAAACGAAGCATCCCGAATTGGTGATGCGACCTGCTGTGGACCGTGATAATAGTAAAGTTGAAGATATGCTTGTGTGTACAGTCTGCCATGTTGGTTTTTCAGGTCCTGAAAGTGCAGTCTCTCATTTCAGAAGTGAAAAACATGTTAAGAAGACAAAGCTAAAGAGATTAAGCAATAAACCTACTAAGGAAATAAATACGAATTCAGATTTCAAACAACTAAATGCAGAGCCAGCTGGTTCTTTTGACAATATGGTTCATAGAGAGTACGATTTGCTGGACGATCGTTGAGATGATACTTTATTTTATGATATGTACCTTATATTTGTATAGCACTCTATTTACTACGTTCTTGAGGACATTCTTTGATGAAATTGTTGAAGACATGCATATTTTAAAACACCTCTGCGTATTACTCGTGTGCTGTACATATAAAAGTATTTACAGTGAATTCAAAATTATGTTTGCTGGATTCTAATTTCTTGATATATTTTTTGTTACTGTGTTTTTAAAGAAAATATACAAATGAGTAACATAGTCACTGTTCTTATTATATATTATTTTTTATATTATTTTTATATTGTCTTTGATTTGTTTTTACAAAGTTTGCATTTTTTATCTTATTTTGTAATCTTCTATGTTTATTTCAACTTTACTTTGAATTCGATTTCATAATGACAATTTCCAATGTTTAATTTTTACACAAATAATAGAACTCAAATGCATAAACATGAAAGTGTCGGGGACGGTTACTCGGGTTAATTAAGATTTCTCTACAGTAATTGCTTTTTACTCCAAATTGAATTGACTAAAATGCTTCATAAGAATAAGTTCTTTGAGTATCAGCATTGGTTCATAATCCCTTCTATTCGCGGAAATATTTGGCCTGACTAGAATTGCCGGTTTGGCTTTAACTTATAACTCGAGTAAAGACGAAACACTTTCGTATTTACGTATTTTTATCAATTATTGTTCATTGAACGGGAGTTGGTTTGTTCCCTTTGAAAAGTCAACTAATTTCCGATCAATGACAATTATTACATGTTTTAAATTTTTCCTTTTACAATTGAAATTTTATTCTTCATGATGATTTAACTCCAGTCTCCGTTAGAACATGATTAACATTTTGCTTTCAAATTACTTCAAAACATCTTTCAAAATATAACTTACCAGTATAGATTCACTCTTTTAAGATAATTCTACTTTAATTAAACTTAGGAGATAATATAATCAATTAATCAATACTGTTTAGGAAATAAATTATATATATATATATATATATATTACTCATTTTATATTTTATGTTTATTTGTATATATATATATGACTTTCTTATAAAACGTATAGAATTTGTAGAAAATAGTTGACATTCTCATAAATTTATGACTGCGCTTACTTCTAGTTTAAAATGAAATAGAATATATTATTATTCTATAATATTTTAGAATTTTACATTAGAATAATTTTAGGGTTGTAGTATATCTAGAAGCTTGAGTCGGAGTCCTGCAGACCCTACTAGACTGACAGCGAGTTAGCGATTAGACTGAAACAAATCACAAAAATCATGAGAAGGTTAAAATAATTTTCTTATTTAAACTCTGTGTTTCATATATCTATGTAATAAAGAATGCCTTCCAAACTATTTAGAAACTGTGTTAGAGAATGACATAATACTTCCTTTGGCGAAGTGCGCCATTTCAACGTGAAACATCTAGAGCAAAGCGTTCTCGAAACAATGGATGCAGCTCTCCCGGAAGTAAGCGTATTCAAATATTTTAAAACATACTGCTAATTTATTTGTTAATAACAGTTAGAAATAGTATATACAGTAATATAGCATATAGTATATACAGTAGTATAGTATAAAATTTATCGAAATATTGTTAGATTTAGTTTCCTTCTTTCTTAGGTATGTGTAAATTTTCGTTGCTTAAGAGATCACATTTATACATTAATTTTCTACAGTTTTATTCATTACATACTGCTAACACGATTAAAGTAAAAACCATATTGTCGCCAATGGGTTCTCTGCAGTAGTAAACCCTCGTTTTCCTAAGCAGTAAAGAGCATCTTCCTAAGCAGTCCTAAAAATAAATAAATGCATCTACAACAGACTTGGTTAAAACATATGGCAACTCTAATGAAATGCCATTGCCAAGTTATAAGTATGCAATTGAAACAGTGTCCGCCGATAACATCGCGGCAAAAACATCGCAGGCGAAAACGTCGCGGAGAAAACAACGGAAGGCGAAAACGTCGTGCTACAAAACATCGTGGGAGAAAACATCGCAAAGAGAAAACATCGCAGTTCTAAAACATCGTGGTACAAAATACCGTCATCGAAAATAAAGCGGTTCAAAAACTTCGCAGTTTAAAAACATCGTCGTCGAAAATATCTTGGTAAAAAATAAAGTATCTACAAATCATCGCATGACGATAACATCGCAGACAGGCTTTATTTTTTTCAGGCTTTAATAGTAATTGTAAATGGATATTCCTATAATTGAATTGAGCGCAAGATGGAAAGAAGGATAATTTTTACTTTCATATTTTTTATTAACTAATACATTTTTGCTGATAAAGTAAGAAGGAAACTTAAGCATAGGAAAGTAATGCAACTTATAGCACTTAACAGAATTTTAAACCGACATAGTTAACTAACAAAGATCATTTATAATTTACTTAAGCTTTTACTAGTAATTTTTCATGAAAAGTATAATCTAAAAAAAGCCTGAAAAAAATAAAGCATATCTGCGATGTTATCGTCATGCGATGATTTGTAGATACTTTATTTTTTACCACGATATTTTCGAAGACGATGTTTTTCAAACTGCGAAGTTTTTGAACGGCTTTATTTTCGACGACGATATTTTTGTACCACGATATTTTAGACCTGCGATGTTTTTCTCTTTGCGATGTTTTCTCCCACGATGTTTTGTAGCACGACGTTTTCGCCTTGCGTTGTTTTCTCCGCGACGTTTTCGTCCGCGATGTTTTTGCCGCGATGTTTTCAGCTGTAACCAATTGAAATTAGAAATATGTAGTTGCCACAATGCATATTTTTAATATCATGATTTATAAAAGGTCAAAATGAAATTTTCTGTTTGTCCATAATGAAATGATAAAATAATTATTCTTGATTGAGTGTACAGCAACAACAACAAAAATTATTTGTGCTAATATAACCTACCAGTATGGATTCACTCTTTTAAGATAATTCTACTTTAATTAAACTTAGGAGATAATATAATCAATTAATCAATACTGTTTAGGAAATAAATTATTATATATATATATTACTCATTTGTATATTTTATGTTTATTTGTATATATATATATGACTTTCTTATAAAATGTATAGAATTTGTAGAAAATATTTGACATTCTCATAAATTTATGACTGCGCTTTACTTTTAGTTATAATGAAATAGAATATTGTTATTCTATAATATTTTAGAATTTACATTAGAATAATTTTAGGGTTGTAGTATATCTAGAAGCTTGAATCGGAGTCCTGCAGACCCTACTAGACTGACAGCGAGTTAGCGATTAGACTGAAACAAATCACAAAATCATGAGAAGGTTAAAATAATTTTTCTTATTTAACTCTGTGTTTCATATATCTATGTAATAAAGAATGCCTTCCAAACTATTTAGAAACTGTGTTAGAGAATGACATAATACTTCCTTTGGCGAAGTGCGCCATTTCAACGTGAAACATCTAGAGCAAAGCGTCCTCGAAACAATGGATGCAGCTCTCCTGGAAGTAAGCGTATTCAAATATTTTAAAACATACTGATAACTTATTTGTTAATAACAGTTAGAAATAGTATATACAGTAATATAGCATATAGTATATACAGTAGTATAGTATAAAATTTATCGAAATATTGTTAGATTTAGTTTCTTTCTTTCTTAGGTATGTGTAAATTTTCGTTGCTTAAGAGATCGCATTTATACATTAATTTTCTACAGTTTTATTCATTACATACTGCTAACACGATTAAAGTAAAAAACATATTGTCGCCAATGGGTTCTCTGCAGTAGTAAACCCTCGTTTTCCTAAGCAGTAAAGAGCATCTTCCTAAGCAGTCCTAAAAATAAATAAATGCATCTACAACAGACTTGGTTAAGACATATGGCAACTCTAGAGAAATGACATTGCCAAGTTAAAAGTATGCAATTGAAACAGTGTCCGCCGATAACATCACGGCAAAAACATCGCAGACGAAAACGTCGCGGAGAAAACCACGGAAGGCGAAAACGTCGTGCTACAAAACATCGTGGGAGAAAACATCGCAAAGAGAAAACATCGCAGTTCTAAAACATCGTGGTACAAAATATCGTCATCGAAAATAAAGCGGTTCAAAAACTTCGCAGTTTAAAAACATCGTCTTCGAAAATATCTTGGTAAAAAATAAAGTATCTACAAATCATCGCATGACGATAACATCGCAGACATGTTTTATTTTTTTCAGGCTTTAATAGTAATTGTAAATGGATATTCCTATAATGATTGAGCGCAAGATGGAAAGAAGGATAATTTTTACTTTCATATTTTTTATTAACTAATACATTTTTGCAGATAAAGTAAGAAGGAAACTTAAGCATAGAAAAGTAATGCAACTTATAGCACTTAACAGAATTTTAAACCGACATAGTTAACTAACAAAGATCATTTATAATTTACTTAAGCTTTTAGTAGTAATTTTTCATGAAAAGTATAATCTAAAAAAAGCCTGAAAAAAATAAAGCATGTCTGCGATGTTATCGTCATGCGATGATTTGTAGATACTTTATTTTTTACCACGATATTTTCGAAGACGATGTTTTCAAACTGCGAAGTTTTTGAACGGCTTTATTTTCGACGACGATATTTTGTACCACGATGTTTTAGACCTGCGATGTTTTCTCTTTGCGATGTTTTCTCCCACGATGTTTTGTAGCACGACGTTTTCGCCTTGCGTTGTTTTCTCCGCGACGTTTTCGTCCGCGATGTTTTTGCCGCGATGTTTTCAGCTGTAACCAATTGAAGTTAGAAATATGTAGTTGCCACAATGCATATTTTTAATATCATGATTTATAAAAGGTCAAAATGAAATATTCTGTTTTTGCATAATGAAATGATAAAATAATTATTCTTGATTGAGTGTACAACAACAACAACAAAAATTATTTGTGCTAATAAATAACCATATTAATTTAAAATATACATTTTTACTTCATTAGAAACATTTGTCTTTGAAATCTGCCTTACACTTTAAAAAAAATATAAATATCTCTTTTCTGTTTTTTAGGAAATTTAGTTATGACTCAAACTTTCTAAATTGCAGCTAACATGAAGTTTGATTTATCCGTGATATTACAGTGTAAATAAATCATAACATTTATGAGAATAAATTAATATCCTATATAACCATTGTTGATTTCATTGAAACTGCTTATTACTCATAATTTCTTCTAAGTGTTATAATAAAAAATTATATAATCCAAAAGTCCATGTTTAGTTTCTTAAATTTACAAAGATGAGAAACGATAAAATTTTATGCAAGTAAATCAGTTATTCATACATTAAAAAAAATCTTTCCTGATTTCTCTAAGTAATTTTGGGCCCTTATGATTATTTATCTGAGGTAAGTTTGTATTTGCTATTTTTCAACGTGTCTGTAATCCTTTACTGTAAAGTATGAATTAGGTGTCATTAAAATTTACGAAGAATGTTGTATATATTTTTCAGAGGAAACTGTCACTAGATTGACATTACCCGATATTACAGAAGTTTATTTGAAGGAGGTGAATATCAAATTTGGACCGAGAAAGCATATTATGCAAACAATGAACAGAATAAAGGTAACAATGTATTTTCAATTACAGAATAACAGTGATCTGAAAGGCCATTTTCGTCTTTTTATTGACCATTAGTGCAAGCCATTTCTTCATCTGTAATATCTAGAGATGAAATATGCCCCACTGAAAAGGTCTGTGTAGAAGATGCAAGTGCCATTCGGCCTCAGGATATACAAAGAAAACAGGCTTCTTCAGACACACCCAAAATACATAATCAGTATACTTTAAGCAAGCTGATAAAATTTGTATCTTAATTTTAATTACGTAAAAAGATTAAGTGATTTATTAGTCAGTAATTTAAAATTTTCTCAATCTTTTTAGGATACTTTGGATATTAGACATTGGGTTAGCAGTCACTCACAAGGAAAACAGCTCTGAGACAACTTGGATAGGGGCTACTACAAGATTGATTATAGACGGCTACTAATTAGGATAGTCTGCTCAAAATGAGTAAAGTTATGTGGATCTGAGTAAGTTTTTTTAGTGAACTTGAATATATTACATGAATTAAAATTAAGATGGTATAGAAAGATGGTTAAACATAGTGAATATTTTTTTTATGAATTTCGAGAATTTTCTATTAAATTACTGTTTGGAAGGAAAGTACTGCAGAGGCAGTAAATACATTTCCATCGCTAAAATCAAAGAGCTTCCCACATGTGCATGTAAAAGCTCATCGTTAGTCTAAAAATTACTTAAAAAAATGTTATCAAGTAATGTAATAGGGGTTTATTTGTATTCAAGAGAGTTTCTATGATTCATCTCTTGAAACAGAACATTTGACTAAAGAGGATTTAGAAGAACAGATTTTTTATTTGGCTTTGATAATATTCATATGCATAACATTTTACAATACTTCTGTTGTAAAAGATAATGTGCTATAAATATTTGATGTATACGTAAAGATAAATTTTGAAAATTAGTGAATATAAATTTTTTGTTACAGATAATGTGGATGAAATTAAAAAATTCCATACATCCCAACAGAAAGAAAATTTAAGATGTAACAATGGTTGGTAGACAAGCTGGAATAAGAGATTCAGCCATGACCGTAACAGGTGTTCTAGAGAGATATCATAGACTTCAAGATTATAGAGGAAATATGGTAAGAAATGAAGCCAAGTATAAGTAATTTTCAGTTAATATTTGCGATTTTCAGTACATATACATATATCCATTGTGTATACTGGTGATCTTTAAAATGTATCTACCCAGGAAGTCAAAATCAAAATTTCTTTAACGTGAAACTTCTAAAACTGTAATCTTCTTTTTTTTTTTTTTTTTGTAACTCCTACAATCCTTAGAAAAGGAAATGTTATGAAAGCATTGAAAATATGTCAATAATGGAAAATATCATTATGTCTTTTAGTGGAAAATAAAATCATTATTGCATTATAAATTTATATATAAAAACAAATTTTCATATAATTTCAGGGTAGTGCGAGAAGATATATACTAAAAACGTTATTTCATTAAATATTTTGGATGATTAGTTTCACTGTTCATATAGTATTTAAAAATTCTTTCAAATTTCGATTTGGACTTCTGTAACCTGAAGATTCTGTGGAACACAGTCTTAAGACTGCTGGTCTATATACATATCAGGTATTTTTCAGCATTATGCTAAAACAAACAAGTTTTTGTAATAAATTTTCATTTAGGAAATATGCTTGGTTTGGGAAATTGAATTATCTAATTAATTATTAATTAATGATTAATGTATTCAGTTTTCAAAATCAACATTTTTGTGGATATATACTAGATAACCTATTATTTTAATTTTTGTATAAAGTTACAGGAAATTAGCTTGTGTTTGTAGATTGATTCAGAATTTTTAAGGATGCATCCTAATTCAGATACTTTTTTGGGAAAGTTTTCATTTTTCTTTTGTCCCAAGAATTTTGAGATATGTGGAAAAAAAAATCTGATCTTCTGATACCAAGTATTGCTGATTTCAGAGGTAAAGATCTTTAAAAATTTAACTAGGACTAGAAATGATATAATACTTTAAAACATTCCTTTGCCTACTGTTTTAATTACCTAGATTAAACTAATTTTGTGTCATTTAGCACATATTGATCTCTACTCTTAAACAGCTCATAAAGTTATTTTTTCTGGCTTATTAGTTCAGTAAATGCGAGTGCATATAAATCTAGTGTCAAAGCATTTTTCCTGATATTTTTTTAATCTCTAGGTAATAAACGTTTATGTATGATTTCTAATATGTATATACTATATATATTATTTGTGTAGATGACCTAAAGGCCCTAGTTTTAATACGAGAGCTTTTGCTCAGTCCAAATCATGGAAAAAGAAAAGGGGGAAAAAGTCTCATTCGTTATTAAGAAGTAAATATTTGACGTCGCCCAACCGGTATCGTGGTTACGGTTGCTGACTGCCGTGCCGAAGGGCCTGGGTTCGAATCCCGGAGAAGTGTTTGTAAATGAAAAGTGTCGGTGCGGCATGTCGGCACTCCAAATATGCGGCGAGCCAAAAGTCCCCTCGTGTGGTTTGGTGGAAGGGGAGAGGGGAAAGATCCTCGGACCCCGTACCCCGCGGTGCTCTCCATCAAAATTGGAGGCGGAACTGAGCAAAATCGCACTGTCACCTGTAAGTTAATCACGGCTGTTGCCAACGACAGGCATAAACTAGCGCTCCTTGCCTCGAGGTATTTTGTGGACTTGGGCTGATGTTACGGCAGACAAATGAGCATAAGTAGCAACAACAACAAATGTTTTACATAAAAGATTCTAAATTATGAATACAAAATAATTTCGCATGCTGTAAAAAATATTTTAATGGGATAATATTGCTGAGCTTCACATATTTTGAAATTTGCAACATATTCTGTCCTGAAAGCTTCAAATGCGATATTCATAAAGCTTCAATGAATAATTACATTTAACATGTAATTTTTATGCATTATTTGGCTTTTTTTATTTCTGAAGAATAAAGGCCAATCAAGTTTTTTGCAATCATGCAGTTATTTGATAAAGCAGATTCTCAATTCTGCACTTACAATATTTGCTAATGCAAGTATTGGTGAGTTTTGATGCTCTTGCACTAACTTTTATTTCAAGATAACAAATGAAAATGAGCCACTTTCAATATTGAATGTATTTGATCACATGTGGTTATCATTTGATCATGTTCTCAGGCTGCTTTTGTCTGTTGTGTCCAGAGATGATGCATGGTTATTTAACGAATTACTGTAGAATCTGAATTGCATCAGTTTGAATATCACCTACGTATAAACAAGTATTTCCAGAGAATTAGATGGTTTGTCTAGATTTATGATGATTTTATATGTTCTAAAATCATTTATATGCCTGTGTCATTATAGTGAACATGGATGTTTACTCATAAAGTGATGAAGTAATTGCTTCAAGATAAAATTCAAAATGTACAGTTCCAGTCATGGAAAAGAAATAACGAAATCAAGCGCAAACCCCTCATCATAGTTTTTATGGAGGGCTGATTCTTATTTTCATAGGAATAAGACAGATTTATAAGGTATCAGTATCAGTAGTGGGCGCAGCTCTACCCACCTAACCAAACAAGTTGGTCTCATGGTCATAACAGGCCCCGCCTAACAGTGAATGTATTTGGTCACATGTGAAACTTATAAGGAATTTTCTCCCTCCTTTCAGCACGCCTTCGTGGCGTAACGGTCAGCCTAGTCGGCGCGTATCCGAGAGTTCCAGGTTCGAGTCTCGGCGAGGGCATTGCTCTTTTTTTATGTCTCCTGCTTCAAAATAACTCATTGACTCTACAGTGGCACCCGAACTAAAAGGTAATGGACAATAATTTGCCTCCATCAGAATTTGGCGTTTGGGTGCCCTAATTCCCAGTCGACCTTTAAAAGGGGGAGTATATAAGGTATTTTCTCGCTTCTTTCTGCATGTCTTCGTGGTGTAACTTTAGCACACTCTTCACGTATTTGAGAGGTCCAGGTTCGAGTCTCTGCGAGCGCATTGCTCATTTTTTTGTGTTTTCTGCTTCAAAATAACCTAATGTCTCTACAGACTATGCAATTAATGTGACTATGGAAATGCAATAGAAGTTCAATCAGGAACTATTTACCATTCTCTCTATGATATTTTCACATTCTTTGCGATTTTTTACAACTTTTTTTTATATTTAAGAAGCAATTTACAGGTGACAGTATGCATTGATAGTTCTGTATGTGCATTGATATAATACTTACACATTCCTGTTATACTGATTCTGCACATTTTCAGAAATTGAAAGCAAAATCGTTCTATGCGCATAAAATTTCTAAGCTTGCTATTTTAAAAAGAAGATAATATTATTTTTGTAAAATTTTTTAATTGGAGAGATAAAACTTTTTAATATGGCTCATTGTCATTTGGCTTGCCTCATAAAAAAGTAGTAGATGTATTCTTAAAAAAATTTTATCTTTAGGGAATAGAAGACCTGGAGTCACTTTCAACAACTGGGAACAAAGAGACCATTCTGATGTGTTAGTCTACCAAAATTCACAGGATCATTTTACATCAAAGCAGATTTTATTGTAAAGAGAAGACATTTAATTCAATCTTTGATATTTATATATATGTGAGATTGAATTATATATATGTGATAAAAGGACTTTGCAATACTGATGTTGTAGAACATAGAATGTTGAATCCGTTATGAGCAGCAAGAATTTTGATGGCGTAGAATGCTGAGATGTTGATTTATAATGAATAAGAAACTGGCAACCGAGGAAGATTAAATCTTAATTTTTATTTCAGGAAACATTTTGCGGCCAAAATTTGGCACATTAATTATGCCTATTTCAACATTTTTACATTTTTGACAGCTTTGCAGTACGAAAAGAGTAGCAGGCAGCAGTCTAGTTATGCTATGTAGAAAAAAGTTAACATTTTAAATTTACTTGTACACACATATATTTTGACTTACTCTTAAAGTTGTATCACTCATTGAGAAACACAGAGAACACTGAACAACTGGGGCTGGACAACAACATTAAAATAAAAGTAAACTCATATAATATCTGATGGTGGTGACTATAGTTAAAACAAAACACGTAAATCATCAACATTGTAAAATAAATTATATTATTTCAAAGCTCAAACTCCATAACACAATACTGAATAGATAATACCCTCTCCGGAGTTTTGGTACAAAATCGAAAGATTATTTTCCAATAAAATGCAAAATGTGAAAAATGCAATTCACTATTAAATTGTACAAATGCTATCTCTCATTAAAAAATACTGAATCCTCTGTCTTACCTGAAAACACGTAAATCTCAGTACAACAATTTCTAAACCCTATAGATAGCCACAAACACTTTTCATTTAAATATAAACACAGAGCGTCTGAAAACACCAGCTAAGGAATAACCACACAAGTAAGGTTCAATCACCAGTTCAAATAAAATAAAAAAATCCGATCGTATAGTACAAATACACATAAAATTAATTTCCCAATTACATCTCCTCTATAACTTTACTTCCCAGGTTCGTTTAAAGAATCCATGTTTTGCGTAAGGATCACATGGGAGACATGAAATACATATAAAATAACTCAAATAAAACATACAATACTTAATCACTAAACACGTTTATTAAATTTTCTAGAATACCATAAATTAAGATAGCTGGCCAGACTACACCTATAAAAACAATATTTTAAAAATACTCACAGTTTCACATTTGACATTCTAAATAATGACCAATATTCTGCCAAATTATTGGTAATGTACTCTAATTATGTAATTATCACTCATTTTCTTTCTGAAATTTCTCTATTTAACGGTTATTTTTCTTTGTTTCAAAATTTTCTTATAAATTATTGCTTGTGTTTTAGTAATGACTGAAAATTTCGTTATTGATAATGTGTAACTAAGATTAAAAAACAGAAAATAAAATACAATTAAGAAACAGTTTTTACGCAATAAGGTTTTTATTTAAAATGGGTATGATAATTAATGCTATAAAAAGGGACACTAATTTATCATATAGTTTAACGGAAGTAATAAATAAAGTAATTTTATTACAGAATTCATCTACAATTTTATATTGTGAATAATAAAAGCATAGGGTGTTTAAATAATAAAATCTATCAATTTAATTGAACTGTCAAATGTATAAGCCATTATCTTTTTAACTTTATCAAATTTAAAACCCCATGCGTTTTTCATTCGCAATATAAAATTGCAAATGAATTCTGTAAGAAGAATTATTTAATTTATTATTCCCATTAAACTGCATTGTAAATTATATTTCTGTTTTAGAGATTTAGTTATGACATCAATTTTAAATAAAAGCTTATTGCATAAAAACCTTTTTTAATTCCATTTATCAGAAAGTTTTTTTATGTATTACTTTTATCAATTTGCATCTAAGTTATTCTATTTATGGAAATATTTGAACTATGCCGTGCGTTGAGTTCTTAAACATGTTTTTGTAATATCAATAAAATTGTAAAAATAATCATCATCTTCCATGCAAGATATATACAAGTTGTAGCACTATTATCAGAGCATTTTGGGAGTTCAGTATTTTAAGTATGTTATACAGAAATATAAATGTAGAATTAGACAAATTTGTCAAGTTTATAATACAAACATGTGAAAGTTTTATCACCCTTCGTCTAAAGGTATAACCAGATAACAGTTGTAATTCTTGCCCAGTCTTTGACTAGTTTCTCTGGGTCTCCATTAATTGACATGCTGATCACTGCGACAAGACTTAGATTGTTGTCTGTATGTATGTCATGTGTTCAAAAGTATGTGCTTTGAATTGTAAACTTGGGGAATCATTTTTTTATTATACTTATTTTCAAGATTCTATGTAAGATAATCAGCTTTCAATCATTTCATTATATCCTATATAATATGAATTAATGCAATTAAATATGTGTGTAATATAAATAATGTTCCGTGTAAATATATATAGTGCAATAATAAGCATCCATAATGTAATTCCAGTCCATGTGCATTTAAAGTAATGTAGTACAGTAATGAAGATGCAATTCAAACTAGATATAAAATATGTAAAAATAATGAATAAGAATTATATACAGGGTGTCTCAAAAGGTCGTTACCAAACTTAACATGATGGTCTGCCATACCATAATAAACAAGATTTACGTAGAAACTGGTGTCGGAAAATGCGAACGGCGACCGAAAGCGAGCAATGTTCTCAGGCTTATGAGAAAATGGGCAGCGTAATCATTTCAGGCAAGGATGTTGCAGGAGTCGCTTTACTAAATCAGAATTGGCCAATATGTATTACATGTATGATGCCGCGGATGGAAATGGACGAGCCGCGGTACGCATATACCTCAAGTGCTTTCCAAACAGACGCCAGCCAAGTCGTGCTTTGTTTGCACAATTACATCGCAGATTGCGTGAGGCGGGAGCTTTTCAAGTAACCATATCGGCTGAGAACGCACACACATATCGCAGAGGAAGCTGAGCTATGGGGATTTGAGAAGAACACGGAAACACGTCTCCGAGCAACCGAGCGCGTTTTGCGTGTGTATCGCTATGCGCGTACTGGATTAAGACAGGCTACACACCTACCACGTCGAAACAGTACAGGCATTGTGCGATGACGATTATCTCCCAACGCACTACATTCGCACTTTGGTATTTATTTGCACAAACGGATCGCGCAGCCGGATTTTCCATCGTGGATTTTGTTTCCCGATGAAGCCTTTTTTTAACACGGGACGGTGTTCTAAACCTTCACAACATGCACGTGTGGGTGCATGAAAACCCAAGGTTTACACGTGCCCTGGAAGTTAACAACGTTGCATCATAAACATCTGGGCTGTTATTATCGGTGTTAACTGATCCTTACGTACTACCTCAACGCCTTGACGGGAAAACCTATCACACGATTTTAGAAAGAGTGTTGGCGGATCTGATGATTGACGTTCCAGCAACTACATGCCGAAACATCTGGTTTCAGCAGGATGGAGCGCCTGCACATTTTAGCAACCTGTGCGGGAATACCTCGATAGGACATATCCTGGTCTCTGGATTGGCAGAGGTGGAACTATCGAATGGCCACCCCGAAACCCGACCTGACTCTCCTGGATTTCTACATGAGGGGATACATGAAGTGCATGGCGTGCGAGACGATCAAAGCATTGGACATGGTTCTTGTCTCCAGGACCGCCCTCTTCCCATTTTGAACGGGTTCGTGAATCCATGAGTCAGTATTGAGAAGCATGTATTGTGGAGGATGGAAACCATTTTGAATATCTTCTGTGATTTAACCATGTTATTGAATGAAAGTCATATTAACACCTCTTTCGATATTCCTTTTTTGTCCCCTTCTACACCTGCGAACATTGCCCTCTAACGGTCACCGTTCGCAATTTAGGATACAAATTGAACTGCATTTTACTTTGTATTTATTCCCTTATATATATGTGTGTATGTACGTATATTACATTTTCTAATAAAGAGCTTTTCATGTATTACTTGATTTCATTTATATTTAAATTACTTTGTTCATGCAAATTATTATAATTCTGCACTTATTTTCGTGATTCCTATTCAGGTTTAATCAATTATAAACTACATAAGAGTTTTCGACAGAACAGTGAAAACTGTTCAAAGTTTTTATCTTACACACGCGATCTAATCCATATTGTTTCACCTAAAAATTTATTACGATTATTTAGTAGTAGTCTCTGTTTAAAATTTACTTAATTCTTTACATATGAAACTTGAAATTAGAATCAGCATGTATAAAAGTAATTTATAGTCTAAAACTATACATAAAAATGTATACACTTATAAAGATCCATGTACAAGAATTTGTATGAACTGCTAATTTGGGGAAATAATTTAATTAATTTTAAGCTTTTCATAAGTTTAACATCATCACATTTTGGAATAAAAACATTTTTTTATAATATCATTCGTGCAATATCTGAAATTAAAAAGAATAGACAAGAATATTTTATGGTTACATATTTTCTGAATCTCATATTTTGCAAATAAAGCTGAAAAAATGTGAAACTGCTAAAATGTCTGACTGACAGGAACTCACGTAAGATATTTTTAATTGAAAAATATAATTTATATTCATCTTAGAAAGATAATTATTAATAATATTTTGGATATGTTAAGAAAGAAAACGTGACTGATAATAGATCCTTTCAAAGCTGTACAGATTACAAAGTTTGAATCCATCCATGAATCCAAATATATAAAATCACATAACCGTAGGTTAATAATTTATTTTTAAGACTACACTTGAAACAGAAATATAAGCCTTAAATCTTAAAAACCATGCTTCAGACAGTAAAATAACATAATAACTACTAACATTTTTCAATAAACTAATTTTACTCTATGTCAGACAAATTATCACACCTTTTATTTGCTTTTTGATTCCTTTCGTACATTTTAACTTTCGTAATTTTCAATATAGTCTTAATTTTAACATAATTCGTACATTTTCAGATTATATACCTCACTTTTATTCCATTTTAGATGTAATTTTTAACTTCTTATCTACTCTACAAGGATTATAGTCTCCAACAAACTCTGGATTTTTAACTAATCTGTTATATTTTCATACTATGTACGTAACTTTCATTTAATTTTGAACTGCTTTCATACATTTTAACCTTCGTAATTTCAAAAATATTCTTCATTTTAACTTAAATCCTATATTTTCTAACCATACATATGCATTTTATTTAATTTTAGATGTAATTTTTAACTTGTTCTGTACATTTTAACCTTCGTAATTCTTAAAGAACTCTAATATTTAATTTATTTATTATATTTTCCCACCATACAAATGAACTTTAAATAATTTTAGATGTAAATGTTTTACTTTTTTTTGTACAATTTTTCTATTTTAGTATTTAAGGAACTCTGAATTTTAAATCATTTCTTATAATTTTCGATCGTAATCACGCTCTTAATTTTACTTATTTTACTATTTCACTTTATTTTACATGTTTAAATTTCTTAAACATACAGACAGTTTCCAATAAAGCATTTTATTTTATAACCGTTAATAATTATTCATATCCAATTTGTTAAACACTCCTTACTTAGTATGTATTTCTTACTTAGCATTTATTAAAATAGACCTATTGGTCTATTTTAATTTGACTTTTCTGCAATCTGTCTATCAACTTTATTCGTATTTCCAAACTTTATAATTTCCTGCATATTCAGGTATTTCCTTATATTTTTTTATATCATTCATTTAAATGAATGCATGTTTTTAAGCTCTTCAAGGTTACAATGTTTAGTTTCGAACATCGATAGCTGTTAAGCTAGCTTGATAGATCACGAAATCTTAGAACGAAATCTCAACTTTCATTCGTAATTTTAGAACCATATTCACTGTTTCATGTACTCATACAGAAATCGTTCTTATTATTTTGAACGCTTAACACCTTTTCAGTAATTTTCAGTAATTCAGTAATTTTTGCTAGTTGACTGCATGAATGCCCTTAATTTACATTTTAAATGCCCAACTATGTAGGGTTTCGTTTTATTATCTTTTTCCTGCCTGGATATTCCTGCCTTCATGGACAACTTTTAAGTGAAATTAACGATTATTTACGATTTACGTTATATGTATAAAAGATTTTCCTAAGATAAACATTTCCAGTGTCGAATCAGATGTGAATTACCCAGCTTCAATAATTTTACGCATTTGTTATCATTTCATTGCTTAAAATTTCGTTTTATTGATATACTTTTATTTTTAGCGCATAATGTGAACACGTTTCTTCGAACTTAGTTGAGTTCCAAATTAATTCAATAGCCAGCTTCACATATAGTCTATTTTTTAAATTCTTATGCTAAGATTTTTTATCGTAAATGTCAGTTTTCATTAATTTATTCATCAATTCATTTTCTTATGAGCGAAATCTTGTGAAACTCTACTACATCTTTACACAACATATCATTAACAAACATTAACATTAACATATCATAACATTAACAGTTTGTAGTGCGTCTTTAACTTAGGAATTAAGATCTTATTTTGCACACGTCTATTTTTCGTTCTGGGCTTAGTGGGTTTTAATTTTACCATTAATACATCTGTATAACTACCAATAAAATATTATTCTACCGCACCTTTGTGGTTATTCTACAATTTTTTGTAAATACTTTTATATATGAATCTCTTACTGTTTTCTAATTATGTTTTGAATAGACAGATTGCCAATGATAATAAAAATATTCATGTTGTTTACCACTACTTTCTCTGAAACTCTTGACAAGTAATATGCCGAGATTTTGAAGTCAGAAATATGTTCTATATTATATTAAAATTCCTGCAGATATATTCACTACCGTGCTATAATATCAGGCTGCCCTTAAAGACTGATATTGAATGTTAGTGGTTTAGCATCAGTAAATATTATAAATTTTTAATTGTTTCACAGACCTAAAAATTGTATGAAGCTCTCTCCTGATTGAAGAATACCTAGCTTACGCAGGTATTAAAATCTTCGATTAAAATTGTGCTGGATAAAACGTATAATTATCTTTCTGCATCAATATGCCTCAAATGGCTGACCCTGATCTATCGATGACTAAATATAAAGGTTTATCATTACCTATATTTTTTATGATGGGCTTTTCCAAGATTAACTCCTGTAGCTTATCTAAGGTATTCTGGAACTGTTCATTCCACAGAAATGGAATATTTGTTTTGGTTAAGTTCAATATTGGCATAATTGAAATATAGATGGGGAAAATAGTTTACCATACCTATGAATGTTTGGACTTCCTTGACATTCCTAGGTCTAGGAAATTTAGCTACTTTTTGAATATTTTCTTCTAATGAAGCAAAATGCTTCTTATTGACACATAAGAAAGTAATTTTTTTTGCAGCATTGCATTTTGGATGGGTCTAAAGCTAAGTTTAATTTTTTAGTCTATTAACCACTTAACTATTTTGGGAGAACATTGCTCAAGTGCCGCGAAAAGGGACTTCTTTTATTTGCCCTTACACCACTTGGGCAGTGTATTTTCCGACACCAATCCACTGATTTTCACATTTTTTACTTTGCATTGTTTCTAATTGATGTCTCTAGAAGTCTAGGAGAAATTGGATTGTAAAACCAGTTCAAGGATAGGTTTTGCCGCTTTTTATTAGGCGGAGGAATTCAGCGAGTTTATTTGCACGTGTTCAATATATTAGGCTTTGTGAATAGTATTTCTTCCCAATTTTGTCATGAAATAAAAGAACGATGGGTGACAGTGAACGGCTCATAACAAAATATAAATCTGATATTGGATCAGATAGCGAATCTGAATTTTCATTCTGGTAGTCCTGAAAATTTTTTATCGGAATTCTTTAGTGATGATGACGAAACGGAAAGTTCAGATGAATTAATTCAGATTCGAAACTTTTGTGAAATGGATACTACTAATCCTCTTCCACCGCCGCCGCGATTTCCTTTCACAGCGATTTTTCTTTCACATTTATGTTCTTTAAAGTTATCTTTCCAGTTCCACAGTTTCGTCAGAAAAAAGCCAACTTTAAGTAAAAATTCCTTACTTTTCCCTTAATTAAAAATTATCTTAAATTAATAAATGCATTACTTGTAACAGTGTTGATTGCTGATTTGAATTCAGGTAATCGATTAGAGTACAAAATATTTTATAAAAAATAAGCAATTATGATAAACAATTGGAGTTTCTGTTCTCATCTTGCCACGATTTAGTCCGTGGACTTGTTCTGATGCTACTGTACTGTCAGACAAGTGTGATACGTCATACAGCAAAATGATAATTAATTGAATATTCTGGTCAGAGAATAAGATTTATTTACATTATTTTTAGTTGAAGTGCTTTTATTGTAAATAAATTACACGATCGATTTAAATAAATGAGATAGTCTTATTATTTTGTTTTTTGCCATTCTCACTCTTACTGACCAGGATTGTTTTCGCGATTTTTTTTATTTATCCAAAGCAAATATTTGGTTAATGATATTTGTTTGTAGGAGCTGAATAATTTAAATTTTTTTTGCTGGCCTAGTTGACAGTATGTGTAACTTTACAAAACATATTTATTGTGGTAAGGCAAATGCAACCAAATAAGGAATGTGTGTTTTAAATCAAATGGGCCGAAAATATTCCGTGAAGTATTCAAGCCGAGGTTGGCTAAATAGCCTTAATTTATCTACGACAAACGCATGGATAACGTATAAGGCAACTATTGGCATTGCAAACATTATAGCCATCGTGGTTTTATTTTAGATGCACTAATTATCATTAATTAAGGAAAAATCACAAAAATGAGGATTACTGAAGAAGTTGCATGTAGAACGTAATGAAATTGACCCACATTATACAATACCTAGTAAAGTATAAAATAACATGAAAAGAAATTACCATGCAATTATGGTGTATCGTAGAAATGTTTTTAAATCCTGAATTTACTCATTTATATGCGGATCTGATTTTGGTGAGTGATTTTGAATTTGTGA